GTGTCCAAACTTTTGACTGGTACTGTACTATAATATACACAAATAATATCGGCCGATATATCGATATCGGCCTTTTTTACTCCCTAAAAATATCGGCCTCTAAAAAAAACATATCGGTTGGGCTCTACTAATGAGAGCATGAAACAATCAAAATTCAACTGACATTTAGAAACACTCAAACTATAAAGACTGTATTATCATTACTTCTGCTGTTGTTTATACGTTTACATTACTTTTCAAAGGTCTGGGGTAGGCTTGCCACGATAGACAGTGCTGACGGGGATACCGGTGTTAAGCCGCAACACCGGTTATGTCACTTGCCCACTGCGTCACCGACCCCCACCGTCGTTTAGATTTTTTATAGAAATAAAAATAATTTAGTTCAGTAAAAGAACAGACACTACCAATTAAAAACTGAACGTGGCTGCTCAATGCAGCGTGCTGAACGAGAGTCGCATCACAGATCAGATTTCGTTTCTCCAGTGAGGAGAGTGAGTCGAGCTGACTGACAAGAAGAGTGGGGTGAGACAGACAAGACGATCGCGGATTCGTCACAACCCTAGTCTGGGGTCAGTACGTATGTTTTTTTTTTCTTAAGAAATTAATTATTTTATTCGTCAGTCAAATAAATGCTGTTCTTTTAAACTTTTTATTCATCAAAATATCCTGAAAAAAAATGCAGTTTCCAATATAACATTACACAGCACAGATTGTTACTGAAAAAAAAATCAGCATATTAGAATGATTTCTGAAGGATCATGTGACACTGAAGCCTGGATTAATGGCTGCTCAAAATTCCACTTTGCCATCACAGGAATAAATTACATTTTAAAATATATTCAAATAGAAAAAAAAGTTACTTTAAATTATAATAATATTTCACAATATTACTGTTTTTACTTCATTTAACTACTGTAAATAAATACAGCCTTGAAGCACATAAAACATTCTTTTAAAAATGTTAAACCATCTTACAGACCCAAACCTTTGTAATATTAATATTAATTCATTTCAGTATTGCTTAATGACACTGTTACTTTAATACAAATCAGGTACCATGCTGGGTCGCTCACTTAGTGTCCTATGCTATTACCTGGTTGGTGCTGGCTTTCTCTAACCGATCCATCATGGTCTCGAACTGCACAGGTTTGAGCTCCATTTTGCGATTGAGTCTGTTCAGTAAAGTCTCATCCTCTGAGTCCATATCATAGTCAGGCAGCTCGTTATCCAGACCCAGAGCTGGTGCAGAGTAACAGGTACAAATCAGTTTGACATTCAAATTCTAATTACACTTTATTTGTTTATTTGAAACAAGAAATTAAAATATCCAGAAGAACTATCTTGAGGTAGAAGCTGAGTCACTCACGCTGGATGTGGATGAGCTGTTTGGGGATGCGGAACTCTCCTTTGTAAAGGCGGTCGTAATACGTGATGTTACTCTCTGCCTCTGGCACAGGGATGACCATACTCTCCTTCTTCTCCCTGAACACCTGCTGGGCAGAGATGGCCCTCTGGAGATGGTGCTCCTGAAACACACCGTGAGAGAGTGAGAGAGTGAGAGTGAGAGTGAGAGTGAGAGAGACATTAGTAATTCATTTTGCACTACATGCTTAATACTTTTTATATATTATTATTACTATTATTATTATTATTTTTCTTTCTGTTAATACATATGTGCACTATTTGTAAGCAGTCCAGTTGCAATTGCTTTGGCAATACAAATGTATAATTTTTGTCATGCCAATAAAGCACTCTTAAATTGAAATTGAATTGAGAGAGAGGGGATGACTAAACCTAATTCTTCATTCACACACAGAGTGGGACAACTCAAATTTGTGAAAAGGTTACACCATATATGCCACAATAGTAAAGATTTTGTCACCACAAAGTATTTCCATTAGCAAGTGAGGCCAGTTAGTTAAGCTGAAACTGATGTAGCTGGACTCAGCAATAAGAAAAAGTTCAAAACTCACACAGAGACGGAAACAAGAATTGGGCAAGTATGACTTCTAATGCAGCTGAGTTGCAATGACTTACACTTTTGGATTCATAAGAGAGTTACTGTGGTAGACAGTTCAATAATAGAAAGGTGAGCAGTTCATTATCAGGTAGGTGAGCAGAGCAAATGCAATGTGGCACATAACTCAAGTTTTTAACATGTACCTTGGTCTCTGTACTGTATCTCTGTCCAACACAACCTCTTGATCATGCAGATCAAGATGGATACATGGTAGTTCATACTTCTGTTTTAATAACTTCACAAATAAAATTAATCAAGATTAATCAAACTGAAGAAATCATGGTGATCTGTTGAACATATTTCAAAATAGCTCAACATCATCATAGTTGTGGCAAGTGGTGTAACCAAGTAAATGCAATAAATATACATTTTTGACAGAATGAATACAATGATGTTTTCTTTACCAAATGGAGGGTTACTTGATTTGACCTGACCAAAACATTTTTTTTTCATAAAAAGGTTAAAATGTGTAATGTTTAAAAGACAGCAGAGGGATTTAAGGGGGTTATTTCTGTTTTATGTTTTTCTTGACATATGACAACAACAAAAACGCTTTTTGCCTGTTGGTTACTAGGACGTCGACATTTTTCAAATATTATTACTATGTTAAAACTAAAATAAAAAAAATTTAAGGTAAATTTCAAATTAATAATAAAAGCAAAAATAATAGTAATAATAAAGTACATTTTAAACTATTAATAATAAAACATCTCATTATATAACTCCATAAGAGATGGATATGAATATACACACACAAAATTATTATTATTATATTATTACACACACACAAACAAAGAAAAACAAGTAGATAGAATAGAAAAAAGAGAAAGCTAGTGTTTGTTTTTTGTTGTTTTTTTTAAATAAAGAATAAAAAATAAAAAAAGATCAATATAGATGAAGTAGAATTAAAATAGAATAGAAAGTGTTAGAGGGTCAAATAAAGGTGGAACAGATGTGTTTTTAGTCGTTTCTTAGTTATTATAGTTGTTATAATTACATGTAATAGTTTAATGAAATAATACTTTACATTTTGTATTAGACTTTATATTAAAACATAAAAATATGTGCCATGGTATCACATGGTAATATCATGGTACTTTTAAATATGCCATGATACTGAATGATTCCCATATTCATATACCACTGCATTATATGATACTGAAATGTAGGAGATAAACATGCCATATTGATGACTAGGGCCCGGTGCTGCAAAAACTAAATCCACTGAAGAATCAAACAGATTCAGACTTCAAAAGCACGCCGTTCAGCTGATGTATTCCTGTCGTAACAAACGTAATTCTCTAACGCATCTGCGCAAAAAGGCTGACGTCAGTACGCATTCACCACTAGCAAATGTCTCACGTAAATAACCTTGCTCACGCCACTAGTGTAAAAGATTTCCCGCGACTACGCAACTGTCGTAAATTTTAAACGTAACCTAGAGCCTTAGAACGGTGTTTGCGTATCCATTTGAGCAGAGAATGGACTTACGTATTAAAACGTGCGTACGAGATACGTGAATACCAACACCCTGCTATGCACCTGAACCTCATGAAAAATTATGAATTTAAAATCATTTACATACCGACTCCTCTTCCTTTTCCATCCCAGTTGGCATTTGTGGAACCGTTCGGTTGATGGAGACGCAGTCGGTGAGGTCCGGGAGGTCTTTATTGCGGTAGATCGGCAGCGGTTTGGCGGCGTCTAGCGCTCGCGCGCGGAACGAGAGTTTACTCATTGTTTTTAGCGATCACAAACACACTAAACACGGATCATTCGGTACAAATACACACACGAGCCAACGGTTCTCTCCGCGGCCGCGCTCACTGACGTACCTCCGATCGAAATCCGGCGGTTAAAGGCATCTCTGAGCGAGTTATGGTGTTTTTTCACGGGCTTTTTTTTCTCGGCTGGTGTGAAAACATGGCGGACATGATCCCGACAGCCCGCGCGACACTGTCAAAGAGCGTGAGCGGGAGCGCGCGTGTGCCGCTGCGCGCGCACCTCATGCAACATGCGTGTACACGATATTACGAATTTACGACACACGGGCACGAGGGAGCACATGCGTGCATCGGAGAGCTGTCACATAGGCCTACATTAGAAGAAGACAGTCTGTTAAACATCTCCCGTGATGATAACGTCTTTACATATGCCACGCAGGCAAAGATGGCCTACAATAAAAAATAAAAATATATATTCAAGATTTTGAGCCACAGAATGTTTTAATTGAAAATCCCATAGGCCATTGATCAACAATGTATGTGCATTTGGGGGAGGGATGCATCCCCTTTAATAGGAACCTTCCAATCCAATCTCATGAGAAAACTGTTTTATGAGATGGCACATTTCTGCAAAGTGATTCACATGGAAACGTAGCCTGCAAGTTTTAGAAAAATGTAAAAATTAGGGTCTAGCCCTAGACCCACCGCTAAACCTAACCAAACATAGGAATTGTACACATTTTGTACGAATTAGTTACCTGTTTGCCAAAATGTAAAATAGGCTATTTACAAGTAGCCATGGGATTATGTTGGTACCTTCACACCCTTGGTCAGGTTAGACATCATACTGAATTTAACGCAGATGAAATGAGGATGTGAAGGATAGACTTAGCCTTTACAATGGCATGCACGATAGCAAGGTCCTAGATCATTACATTTTCACAACTTACAACTTTCAAAACTGTTTTATGGAGTTCTTGTTTAGAAAGACATTTCGTCAGCTAAACAATCGGTATGTGTTGTTAACAGTATTGGGCTGTTACTCCAAAAATGTAATTTATTACTCGTTACTATAGTTACTCCTTTCAAAAGTAATATTATTACTTAGTACTATCTGGCAACAGTAATTAGTTTACACTACTAGTTACATTACTTTTCCTTCACGCCCCACAGAAGTTGTAATTGTGTTTCTTCCCCATACAATTCTTCTAAAATGTTACTAACAATATATTTCTGCCTCATCATTTGACCAAAACACTGGATCGCAGTCTTTTTACAAACACTCAGTGGCGATTGATAGTGACTTTTAAGTAAAAGTGTTAATTGTCATGTGGAGATTGAAGCTAATTTTAGCTATAATTTCTCTATAACCAAATAATATTTATTATATTTCATGAAGTATTTTATCAAAAGAAATCACATAAATTCATAAGATTTTTAATTATAGTAATATAATTTATATTGGGATCAGAGGGATGTGGCCATGATGCCAGAGTAAAGTAATGCCACAACTTACACATTTGTGTTCAGATCACCTTTTCTCCTGACAAAATTAGTGTAATGGCAATATTCCCATCTCCTGACTGTAAGCTTTTCCATATTCCAAGCTTTCCTGATGCACTGGTGACTTCATGTGCCTGTGCGAGTCGTGAAAATTATGAAAATAAATCTAGGAATTATTTGATTTCAAATCAGCGGGGTTGAGGCATTAAAAGTAACTAAGTAATAGCTGTTTTATGGATGGTAACAGTAATATTATTATTGAAATCTTATTAGTTACACTACTAGTTACTGCAAAAAGTAATATTATTGGTTGTTAAACAACAGTAGCTACAATCCATTGAACGCACTGTACCTCTATCCCTCACAGACTTGTTTTCATTCCTGTCAAAAATTAAATACACTGTACTCTGACTAAGATCTAGTCGTGTTATTGCCAATAATGAGAGTAAAGAATTGGGCCTGCTTGGTTTACGAGATATACAACACATTTCAATCCTATTAAATACAAGGCTACTTACTATGGATTATTCCTAAAAATTGTGGTTGTTTTTACTACTGTTTTGTCGCTAAATTTGAACCAGTCAAATGATCAAAACATAGTCCACATATTTTACTGTGATTATGGTTACTGTGCTATTGAGTGTTTTAACACTAACATAATTACAGTATTCTGTTGACATATATAGTTTCTTAAATAAATAACATATCCTGATCCATGTACAGTCTGATAGCAGGCGAGCCTGCAGAGAGGAAAGTGTAGCATAGGGAGCTGCTTGGAAAAAGTTACCTGCTAAGACACAAATCATTTTTAATGAGAGGAACGAGCAGAACTTAGTGCAGAAGCAATCCTATAAAACAGTGGTGGATGTGCGATGGATAAGTGGAGAGTGTCTGAGCGCTGCAGGGGCTGCACTGAGTGTTTCTCCATACAGAACATTGCCTATATTGCTTGCACACACCAGAATCCGTGACATAATTGGACCATTTATGTTGTATGCTATACTGTTCAAAAGTTTGGGGTTAGTAAGATTTTCCCTTTTTTTTTAAAAGAAATTAATACTTTTATTCAGTAAGGATCCATTAAATTGATCAAAAATAACTGTAAAGACATTTCTAATGTTACAAAATATTTCCATTTCAAAAAATGCTGTTCTTTTGAAGTTTGTATTCATCAGAGAATCTTGGGGAAAAAATGATTATGTTTTAGACAAAAATATTAAGCAGCACATAAGCAGTGTTTTTCTGTGGTTCAAGATGTTTCACCACTCAGCTGGTTATGATTCCCCATCATTTAAGCTCAAAACACACAATGACGTCCCAAGTCTCAAGACAATTAATTGCTGGAGTCATTGCAGGCATTGAGATCCCAGGTGTGAATTAGTGTAAACTGCTGGGATCAGGATGAAAGGTAAGATCACATGTGCTTCAAAGATGGCTGTTTCACTTTATCACAAATGGTCATCTGACCCTTTTTTTCTCTCTCCAAAAGTTTGACTTGAATGTCTGTGTATGTGTGAACCTTGTCTTTTAGTGTAGTCCAGAGGTGTTTCAGCCTCTCTGTGCTGTGACAGCTATGATGTTCCTCATTACTGTACTTCTTTCCCCTCAGGGCCCTGTTCTTTGGGTACACTGGGTCCTGGACCTTCTCTGCTAAGTCCTGGGAGTTCTGGATGTGATGTTCCACGTCGCCAAATAATGGTGGCAGCCAGGAATGTGGCCAAGTGTCTCGCAGTGTTGTACGAGGAGTTTATACTGCTGACATTTGGTTTGAGTTGAACTCCTTCTTTATTTTTGGGAACCCCGTATGAACACTAAGAAGATTCCCTAGGGTAAGCAGGAGTAGAAGTTGCAGTTGGTAGCTTTATTCTAGGACTTAGTGAATGCACAAAGTGTGCAAGTGAACTAAACACCACCTGGATTATATATTATGAGCTATGTGCATTCACTGAGGGGGAACGGTGAGCCCAAGGGCCTTCGTGATATTGTGACGTGGGCCATAGGCATTACTAGAACCAATTTCATTTCAGCTCAAGTGTGAATATGCATTCACTGTGAAACTTTTGGTCACATCATATTGAAAAGGAGAAAAGTAAGTTACCACTTCTATTCGAGATTCAAGTGGCTTTATTAGAATGGTAAAGAAGGCTTCACATTGCCAAAGCATTGGTAACATTAAATTACAGACATACACATTTACAAACAATTAAAAAACACACAAACCAACAATGAGAGGGAATATTCAAGCTCTATTCAAGCTTATCTTAACAGAAAAACGAAGCACAGTCATTTCTTTATAGTTGCTTTTGGGGTTTCTTTGGAGTTTAGAGGTTATAATTTTCCTTTTTGCAGGAGACAGTTTTACTATTTATCACATTTTATGCCCTCTGGATTGGATATAAAATGTCCTTCAAGAAAGCTGGAGACTGCTGTATACATATTCAGTGGTGGACTGATTTTATTAAATGGTGGTCAAGTAAAATACATTTGCTCAAAACCAAAAATCAACTGAGATCATGGTATGTGTTTATGTCTGTCATTAATTGAATTTGTGCACATTACTGATCGTTTTAAGCACATTTCCAGATCTCTAGCTGTGGTTTGGACAATTGGATTGCAGTAGATCCAATATGTCGTGGTTGATTTAACATTTGGCTTTTTAGACAGCTGTTCTGCCCAAGACAAATAAATAAATCTTATGTGTGAATGGCGAGCTTTAAATGTAAAATCTTGCTGATACAACTAACATTAAATTGTCACATCAACAGTTTTTCAGAGTTAATCTGGATCCTTGCTAAAATACATTTTTAAAGACAAATGGTGTTCATTTTCATTTAAACAAGTACCTTAGGGAAATAATTAAGGTCACATTTAATGTTTTTTATTTATTAAAAATTTGAATTAGCTTTTTATTTTTATATGTTCACCTTTCATGCTTTTATTTTATATTTAGAAATTTTGTTGTGCATTTTTTTCATTTGTATTAATTTATATATATTATATATATATATATATATATATAGAGAGAGAGAGAGAGAGAGAGAGAGAGTTTTAATTCAATTTTATTTCAGATAGTGTTAATAGTAGTAAGTTCAGTTTTTTTAAAGTTTAAAAAAAAAATTGGTACAATATTTATATTTTATTCAGCTTAATTTCAAGTACCGAAAACAATTTTTGATAGCTAGTTTTAATAAATAACAACAGTGATGTTTACATTTTTCAAAGCAGTTCAAATCCTCGGGTGCATCGTGTGAAACCCCTTGTGACCTGGAGATGCTGGAGAAGCGGGTGGCAGATGTGCATGCAGCACATTGGATTTGTGACTTCTGTGTTTGGGGAGCTGCCAAATGATTCTAGAGACACATGTTTTTCCCAAGAGGAGCTCAATGTAGATGTTAATTTTCTCCTCCAGGGATAATGGTTCTCTCTGATCAGGTTATTATCAACGACTGTGATGTCAGCATAAACTGAACGTAAACAATGCCATCATGTTATAGGGCAGTTTGACTTTAATGAGTTGCTTTTGCATGAATACTGGTCAAAATCCAAACACAGCTCAAAACCCAAAACACTCAAAAATGTGTGTAAAACATGTGTACACCACGAGATGCTGAAACAGTGATGGCTTGAACGCAAATTTCTGGACTGTGAAATTTACATTTAAATTTATGCATTTTTTTCCAAAGTGACTTACAATAGACTTTGGCAATTTGTTCAGAAAACTGAACTACATCTGACTTTGTGTAAAAGTCACTAGATCAGATTCACAAACATATGTATTTATTTTCATAAATAGAAAAAATAAAATATGTAAAATATAAAAACTAAAGCAAATTCAAAATATTACTAAAAACTATAATAGAATAGCAGCCTTTGTTATATTTCTCAGAGCTTCAGGAATAAATATGTCTCACCTAGTGGATGCATTATTAGTTTTTTCTTCTTTTTATGTTAAAGTCAGTGAAGCACATAGCAGTGTGTTAGGAGAATGATGTGTCGACGCCCACACTGTTATTCAAAGACATTTACAGCAGCCTGACAAGATTGCTTCAGTTCAATAGCTCACAGAGAAACAGTGAGATGGGATGCCAGACAAGCAGTCCACTTCAATTTATATATAACCTGTAGTGGTGGGTGTTCGGTCACTGTTGGACTGCAGAACCACTGCTATAAAGTCTCTTATGGTTACCAAAACTGCATCTAATCTGCATGATTAAACTGCATTTAATCAAAAATACAGTAAAAATAGTAATATTGTGAAATATTTTTACAATTTAAATGAAGTATTTTCTATTTTAAGACTTTGATCAATTTAATGCCTCCTTGCTAAATAGAATGAATATATTAGTAATCGATTTATTAAATTAGTAATGAAATAATTAATTTACTGAGTATTCGTTTTAAAAAAATCTTACAAAGATTTTAAACCGTGGAAAATCCGAGATGGTCCTCACTGCAGAACCCAAGATCCAGGGGGCGTGGTTGGATCCAGATCCAACTCCTCCCACCTTACATATACCTAAACCTACCAATCTCCACCCCCTGATCCCTAAACCCACCCATCTCCACCCCCTAGATGTGGATCCAACCCCGCCCCCTGGATCTTTGTTCTGCAGTGAGGGGCTACTGGAAAATCCTACAATCGGAATGAGTGTAAACCGAATTAGGTCAAATGCTGACATCTAGTGGTGTGCTCACACACAACATCCATTCATCAAATACCTGTCAGGCTGGACAGCACTGATTCCAGCGTTGAGAAAATATGCATGCAAGTGTTTTCAGGTAAATTCAGTAACTGAGACACAGCACACTTTTGAGAGCAGTCACTATACTTTATTGGAGGGGAATAGTAGCATAAAATTTCATCTGTACATTATGTAACAATTACGTCTGGTCAGGCCCTGAATGCGTTAAATACTCGAGAGAAAGTTGGACAAAAATGGCATGTCCAGCACAACAGTAATACAGCTGCTCGCACCTAAAATGCAGAGTTTTGGTAAAGTGGAGACATTCACTCAATGGTGTAGTTGAGAAGAAACATGGTCACTGAAGACCCCAAAAGTGTGTCTGAGAGAAAAGACAGAGAGAGAAGCAGCTGGTTTCGAATCCCAGGAGCAATACTTACAACGCTGCACCATGTTGTTTGTCGTGCTACACTGTTTGTTCAATCTTTTGAATGCCGTGAATGGAAGTCTGAGGTAAAGGATTGATTCTTTAGTAGTGTTTTATTTATCTGACCAGTTTTGAAAAAAGCATCACTTCTCATTGATCCAGTAAAGAATGACAGTTGGGGACATGATATAAATTAATAAAACTAAAATACAGATGTACAAAATTAACATTAAAATATTTAATAATAATAATATCAATAAAGGATTTTTTCGAGACATAAAAAAAAAAAATGCTCTTTTCACAATCTAAAACAACATTCATATATACATACGGTGCATTTTCAATTGAGTCCTCTACTGAACACGGGGCTTTTAAAGTTTGGCTTTCCATCTTATTCAACCTTCCTCCCAGATTCCCTAACTAGAAAACCAAAAACAGACGGGAACAGGACAGCACCTGGTAAAAACACTACAGGCCAGCAGCAGTCACTCATCTTATTGAATCGTCTGTAGTGTTTACAGTCAAAAGTTAAATCACAAGAACCTCACGGGAGACGCTGTCAGACCAGAATACTCATCCTACAAATTAACCAGTACTTTAGTTTGGTCTTATAACTGACTGACCTTACATTTTGCATCTACAGTGTCCAACTGAGGGCCTTTGAAAGATGGCATGGGCCCTTGTATTAATTTACCATCCTGACAGCAGTCAGATGAAGTAAAACCGAATGAGCTGTCTGAGAATGCTACAGTAGAGAGAGATAGAGAGCTTTCATTGAAAGGGCTTGATTGCATACTGTTGTATGGACCTGAACATTGTCAAATGCATCATACTGTAAAATAATTGTGAAAGCAAAACAAACCAAAATGAGCCACTGAATTTTATGAATCTTATATCACGATTTGTTCAGACAGGCAACAGATATCCGATTTTAAAAAACAAACATGAAATGCATCGTTTACAAACTGGATTCAAACCACAGCAGTATGTGGTTTGAAATCAGATTAAAATCATGTTTTTACAAATGTGTTAAATCTGTATGGTCAGATCAGATCTAAATTAATTTTTTCACCATTCAGGATGATGTGACTAGTATTGAAAGCAAAATGAACGAAAATGAGCCACCAAATCATATTAGATCATTTGTTCAGACAGGCAGCATAAATCTGATTTAATATCTGATTCAAATCAGTTTAGTTGTTTGTAGTCTGAATGGGGGAATAAACTAAAGATTTTTACAAAACTGATACAAATCACATGAATATGTGGTTTTAAATCAGATTTTCAGAAATGCATTCAGCCTGAATTTTCAGTTTTCACCATTAAGGATGCAATGTGACTAATATTGAAAGCAAAATGAGCCACTGAATCATATTTCAGGACTTGTTCAGACAGGAAGCAGAAATCAAATTTAGTATCCGATTCATTTCAGTTGACTAGTCTAAATAGGAACCCACATAAAAATCAGATTTTTTCCAAACCTGATTGAAATCAAATTAATATGTGGTTTGATGTCAGATTAATATCAGTTTCATTGTGAACAGTCAGATTAGATTTAGTCAGATTAGAGCAGTTTTTTCATCATCTGGGATGCAATGTGATGGTAATGACTGATATTGGGACGGATATTGACTACACTATCCGAACAAATGGATCAAATTTCTCACAAAATGACAGTCGATCCTAAAGATCGAATTTGAAACTCAAATTGGATTCAAGTGCAGTGTGAACGAAGCCTAAAAGCAGCAGCAGCAGCTTTCTTTTGAAAGACTGTGTTGGCCTGTCGGCAAAGAGTTACTGCATGTGTTCGGTCCCCATTACAGCATATTATTAGCTTAATACTCTCAGACAACGTGCGTCATATGCATAGCCTGACGTTGACTTCAGTTTGTGATGTACATTATGGTCTAAGCAAACTGCTAGGCGCTTGTATTTTTACCACACTGGAAGTGGCCTGTGAGCTGTGAAACAGTCCCTGCTTAGGATGTTATTGCACATAATATGATCACACTAATAAGGTGTTATATTAACGGCCCTTGCATACATAATATAACAAGGGTCACCAGAATGTCACCAGAATGGCACCAGAGGGCTCAAAGCAAAGGGAAACGATTCCTGAGACATACTGAGATACAGTTCTTGTAGAAGTGTGTAGAAGGTCGCCTGGCTGCTGATCTGAAACCAGTTTGACGTGTCACTCGTGAGGTCGGGCTTCATGAGAAGGCTGGTTCAAATGCAGCGCACAAGGGCGGTCTTCTACTCGCAACGAGACAGAAGCGGACAGTGAGAAGACCGTAGAAGACCAAGATTGGATGATTCCCAATGAAAATGGAAATGAAAGAAAAAGAGTGATGCCCCGAAGACAGGAAATAACTTCAGATTAACAAATAATGAAGGGGTTTCCATGACTGCTAATGGGATCTCATGCACAAGCTTGCACAAAGGATTGAAAAACAAAGAAAATGAAAAATGAACCGAAAAAAAGAAAAGAAAACAAGGCATGCACATACGTCAATGTTGTGAGGACACCGCAAACCTATATTGGTAAGTGCTTCTGTATTATTTTCACAAAATTCATATTTTCAGGGATTTTTTTCTTCTCAACAGGTCTCGATAAAGGTCAAAAATTGCTTTAACAAACAAACAGTCACAATGCTAAAAAAACCCCAAAAGGATCACATTTTAAACAGCAGGGCAACACAGAGAACAACTAAAAGAAAGAAGGCAGAACACTGGTTTATGAATGGCCATCGTTTCTTGGCATAATCTGTCATATAAAAAAAGTTTTCCCCGTATTTAAAAAGCTTCCGTGCCAAATGGAGGTAATCGAAAAGCCTCTTTTTTTATATCATATAGTGTTACAAAACAAACGTATTATTAGGATGAGAAACTGAGGTATACCTTGTCGAGAGGTTGGTGGTTATCTGACAGAAACTCTGAAAGCTTTCAGAGAAAACACGTGTTGATTTGGGTTGTATCATCACCCTTTCTGTTGATATCTGTACAGCAGCGTCACACTACACATTCAAAAAGCTGTTTCTTATTGGCATTACAATAGTCATTCATACGAACACATTACATGTGTCTTTTTTACATGGACGTTGCCCTTTTTATACTGAAATGACACGAGCGCTGTGGCAGAGGAGGAGTCTCGTTTACTCCTTGAATGTGAAAGCTTATTCTCCGAGCAGAGAAACAACAACAAAGAGGTTCACTTTTGATGTCGGCTTATAATCCATCCGTCCTTACCAGAGTGCCCTGTGGTACTAGTTTATATACACACACAAATACAATAGCGTAGCTGGCTCCAGGTACACCTGTATTAAACCCAGATTCGGCACAAAATGCATCATCTTGCATTTGCTCCAGCTTTAAGTACAGGACAATCATCCAGCATGTCTGAAGCCAGTCGTCAGAACTGCAGTCCACCACCATCTCCGACGCCTCTTTTCTGTTCGGTCAGCCCGCAATTCACATGCTGATATCCTCTAGTCATAGACTGGACTCCTTAGGGGGATAGTCCACATTGGTCACCATGGTTACAACAGTGACTATTTCCTCCGGGGCGGAGACGCTGGTCTGCCGCTGCATTTGGATCACACGCTCCTCGACGCAGCCCGCGGAGAGACGCGCCTCAGCCTCGTGGTCCCAACATTCCTCTATAGTCTCGCACAGCATGGCCAGACCCTGAGAGACAAATGAACATGTTTTATATCAAGCATAATATTCACTTAATTAAAATCTTCAGTTGCGGTGAGGTTTAATGATGATTACGTACCGGATGTTTCTGCCAGCACTCCCTGAGAGTGGGCCGAAGCTTTTTGTGGACCACCACCTCCTGCATGTCCTCTAGAGTGGGGTGTTGGCCCACCTCCTCCTCAAACGGAAGCATGTACTCATCCACTGGACCTTAAGAAACAATCAACAAACATCCGCTCAAGTTCTACCATTGAGGGGTAACAGGCGTTTTCAAACTAGGGTCCAGAGACCCCAGGGAGCTACAAGGGGTACACAGAAAATTTGCAAGGAAAAAAAAAATAGAATGTCAGAAATCACATTAACTTTAGACATGAGCTAAATGTGGTAATGCAATCATTTTTAACATTTACTAAATTATTAATTTTTCATTAAATTTATCAGCCCTAGTTTTTAATCATTTTGAGCAGTATAAAAATAATTTAAAATGTAATTTTAAAAAGAATGAGAAAAAAATGTGTTCAGCTCTTCTTTCCTGCAAAAATGAAAAATGTGTCATAATTTATTCACACACATAGTTCCAAACCTGTATGACATTATTTCCACTGTAGAACACAAAAGAAGATATTTTGAAGAATGTTGGGAACCAAACCATTTTGGTGACCATTGAGTTCTTGGGACAAAAAATTTCTCAAAGTATCTTCTTTTATGCTTCTTTTATTCTTTTTATGTAAATGATGACAATTTTTCATTTTTGTGTGTACCTTTAGTGGTTCTTGGCATCAAAGTTTTTAAAAACCCCTGGGTTAGAGTTTTGCTGAAAGAATAAAACTACATATCTTGCCATGTGCATCAAAAATGGAATTAAATAATCACTGATAAAAACTCGAAAATCGAAAAAATAACATTCTTCCACGTTATCAACAAACGCCAAACAAATGAGGGAGAAGACAGTTTAGAGAAGAAGTAGCCAAACAGAATGACTTTTAACCACCTGATCTGCCATCACATTCTGTCATCCATTCAATCCCATCATGCACTGCACTCAATGAGGTTGTCACACATGATGACCCCTGTCACAACAGTCCCTGAGGTCTGCTTCACTTTCCACACCTGATCAATATTGTTCCATTAGACCAGAGACCAATAATCAATAATAGTGAACTTACTGCACTTACAGTGACAGGCTTATTCAGGAGCCCAAGTGATAGTAAAACATACTGGAAAATGTGTTTGTGATATCATGGAGTGCTGCAGTTACAACTCAAATGTCAATCAAATTTCTATAAAATAGCTGATATAACTGCACAGCTTGATGTCAAAATAGTCTAAGAGGAATAGCAGCTCATGTATTCGTACCATCAGACGCAGTGCAACGGGCCGCCAGCTCCCACAGCACCAGTCCCACCGCATACATGTCTATCCTGAGGAAAGCGTCTCGCTGGAAGTTGATGGCCCCTTCCAACACCTCTGGGGCCATGTAACGTCTGGTTCCCACCTGAAGTGCACAGAGAGACCCCCATCTGGTTAGCATAACAGATTAAAATGGAACATGTACATGCATATAGTATGCCTTGATAAGTAGTGAATTATGGGCAAGGGTCCAGCTGCCAGAGCAACTATTTCTATTACTGAAATATATGAGAATGTTTTAAAGATCTAGATCAGTGATCTTCACTATTTTTTTCACGAGAGCCGCACTTATAGGACAAAGTTAATAGGAGAGCCACTTTTACTGCAAAGTATGAAAAGTTACATCCAGTCATAAATAGCATGTCTGCTTCTCAATCTGTCATCCCTGAACATACAATATGCAATGCAATACAAAGGGGTTTATTTTTAAAAGTTATTTAAAGTTATTTGCTTAACTACATTAGCCCATCATGTATCAAACCATAAGAGCACATTCGGCATTAAGAGCTGGAAAGATTGCCAAAACAACCCCGCAGTGAGTCAATGTCATGGACGTAAGGGCAGAACAAGTTTAAATATCTTTCTAGTCTATATTTCCATCTTGTAATTCCGCTGTTTTGGGTATTTTTAAAATATAAATAATTTATAATAGAGCAGACACTGACTGTTGTTCATGTAAATATTGCGATTTGATTTAAGTGTAATGACCTACTTTTGATTTATTCACCCAAACTTTGACAAATTCCGTGACATTCCGCGTTATACAGTAAATTCTGTTTTTATGACTGGATTCCGCAATTCCGTCCGCGTTTTCCGCATCGCAGAAATCATAGGGCCATAATTAGAATGGGTTCTATTGTCGCGTCGCACCACGACGCTCGCGTCCAGTGTAGACGGTGTGAGTTTTTTTTAATGGCTTAGTTTTAGCCCTGCTTGTTTTTAATGTTTTTATTAAATATCTGTATTGATCATATCATCGCATTATTTACTGCCATCTGCCATGCGAGCCACACATTAAAGCTTGGCGAGCCGCGCAATGAGTAACACTGATCTAGATACATACAATGCTTGAACATGCCAATAATAAAATGCTGCATATGTAGTGGAGAACTACCGGCACTTCGGTACCAAGCCAATACAATAAAAAAGTATTGCTACAAGTCTTTCTACAATCTTTCTGCTATCACTGCAGTCAATTCACTTATGGTTTCAATATGAAGGGCCCATCCAGCTGTGATTTATAGCCTAATAAACATATGTGTGAATTTTATGTTTTGTATTTCTTGTATACTATAACAAAACAAGAAAGTTATATTTAATATTTGATTACATTTGTATTTTATTAAATTACTGAATTTTTACCAGCATACTTCATACTGCTGTTAAAAATGTGAAAAACCTCAAGCGTTTATTTAATTTGTATCCTTGTTCTTTTGTTTTAATTGTTCTATTTGTTCATGATTTTATTACCACCTGTTAACCTGAATAATTTCTTGGACAAACTTCAAGATGTGATTACTTAATTGAGAAACACTTGAAGGCTGCATGCCATGGTTTTAATTGACTTTGTTAGCATTTATATTACTATTTATCTTTTTGCATAAAATACTTTTTGTATTCAATAGTATATACGTTTTTGTTGTGGTACTGAGAAAGAAATTTCACTACTGGTATTGTATTGACTACTGACATTTTTGTGTCGTGACAAGCCTTTTATGTAGGCAGCACATTAGGTTTTGAGATACAGCCTCTGATACACCTCCATAGAATCATATTCATATTTAAACACACGTCACAGAGCGATCAGCACCAGCTTTAGAGGATCTGAACTAGTGCTGGGCGGTATGACCAAAAATTTATATCACAGCTGTTCCCTCAACACAGTGCAACAGTGAAAAGGGACCCCTTTCAAACAGTGTCGCGTTCCGAACGTTGTTTAAGCGACATACACCGGTATTGCGGTATTTAAAAAATTAATATCATAATAAAAATAAACACCGGTATTCGGTATGAACCGGTATACCGCCCAGCACTAATCTGAACAGTTGTCTTTCAACACTTACCTGCCCATGTGTGTCCCCAGCTGACTTCCCTGCCTCAAACTTCAAAGCCAGACCAAAGTCAGCTATACAGGCCGTCAAGTTTGTCTTCAGCAGCACATTCTTGCTCTTAATATCTCTGTGCACGTACAATACAATTTAAAAATTTTAAAGTAAAACTGGCTTAAAACTCTCACAAAGATATTTTCAACATGGTTTCAGCTGTTTTTGTCTATAAAATGAAAGTCAGTGGGGTCTAAAACAACACTGTACCTCAGTGACTTTCACTGCATGGGGGAAAAAAAACCCACACATTAAAAATGTGTGTTTCTGCAGAAGTAAGTCATACAGGTTTGGAACAACACGAGTGTATGTTTTTGGGTGAACTATCCTTATGACAGTGTCTTCTGTTCAATATATCCAAGGACCATAATGGTTCTTAAAGAGTTGAACATTTCTCACCTGTGTGCGATGGCCGGTTTGTGGCCGTCTTTGTGTCCTGGGAAGTCAGAGTGCAAGTAAGCCAGGCCCCGAGCCATGGTTTGAGTGATGTGACACAGCTCATTCCACGTCACTACGTTTGCCTTTAGGTAGTCTGTCAGGGAGCCCTGCACACAGACAGAACAGACAAGCGTATCAATCATGGCTGTATATCAGCCTGCAGTGCAAACAACTAAAACCTTTTAAATTCACAATAAAAGGAAAAAAACCCCCGTATAAACTCAGCAATAACACTGACTGCGGATACTTTTGAGTGCTACTGTCACATATTGACTCAAAAAACTTGAATGATTTTTTTATTAAAATAATTTATTTTGCATAATTGGATCTGACAAGGCATCAACATGACAAATAAAAAATGTTTCTTTTGTAATGACTGTTCCTTGAGAACATATCAAGCAGAATACCTTTATAACAAAAATGCAAATTACATCAGCAGCATTCAAAAAGTAGCCAGTTTTTATCACTATTTCTTTGTCATGTTTATTTCTCAGTGTTCAGCAGCTGGGCTTGATAATTTCATTAAGCAAAATCTCTAGTCTGATGTTCAAAATTCATATAAATAAAAAAAAAAAGTCTTTTTAAATTTCATTAGCAACACTGCAAAAAATAATATAGCATGCAATTCCTGCTGATTATGATGGCAGAGAGATTAATTTGTAAACTTTGAGAAAATAAAATGGATCTAGAACGTTCCTCCTTTTAAGTGCAAGCCAATACTGTCCAGCCCTCATACAGCTCCACACCTTCTCATGGTAAGCCGCGATGAGCCACAGCTCAATGTCCAGGTGGCTTCCTCTCTTCTCTGCCCCGATGAACTGCAGAATGTTTTCATGCCTCATGCCGGGGAGATTGTAAATGTCATACTCGCTCTGCCATGAGAGCTTGTCCTGAGAAAGACACAAAGTACACAGTTATTACAGCACAGTGCAATACAGTATGATGGGCAATCCCCTGAAAAATGCTGAGGCGATCAAAAACACTTATCAACCAGTAAGTCAACAGCAGTAGGTCTGATAATTGACCATTAAAACAATTGATACGAGTTACAGAGCCTTAGCTGACATTCACAGTCAACTCAGATTATGTAAGTAGTAATTTACCAGAGCAAATTATTACATGGTTGATCGATGGATGACACAAATGATTTCCCTCTGTGGAGCTAATCTTCTGTTAGCTGTTTCTACTAAAGATGCAAATTTTCATTTCATGAAATAAATGTTTATCATGTATATTTAAGGAAGGAAGTCTCTTATGCTCACCAAGGCTACATTTATTTGATCAAAAATAAGAGTAAAAACACTGTAATATTGTGAAATATTATTACAATTTAAAATAACCATTTTCTATTGTAATATATCTTAAAACATAATTTATTGCTGTGATGTCAAAGCTGAGTTTTCAGCAGCCATTAGTCCAGTCCTCAGTGTCACATGATCCTTCAGAAATCATTCAAATATGCTGATTTAGTGCTCAAGAATTTATTTTTATTATTAATTTTGAAAGTACTTGTGCTGCTTAATATTTTGTGGAAACGGTCAGAATTATTTTTTAGGAATCTTTGATGAAAAGAAAGTTCAAAAGAACAGCAGTTATTTGAAAGAGGAGTCTTTTGTAACATTATTAATGTCTTTACTGTCACTTTTGATGAATTGAACGCATCCTTGCTGAATACTAATTTCTTTAAAAAAAAAAAAGGGCCCATTGAACACTGTTCTGTTCATATTCCGTTTAAAGTAAATAAATATACAAACTAAATAAATAAACACAGATATATCATTTATGTATATTAAACTATATAAATATTAAACATTGATATATACAGCTTTTTACAGCGTATGTTTTAATTCAGAAGATGTATAGTTTCCTCTTCACATTCTGTTTCATACGACTGCATCATCTTTGCTGTCAAGTCTATCATTAATTAGAAATATTTTACATTACTCTCAAATTCAGTTTTATTTAAATCACATTATGTGCTAATGTTGTACATGCAGTGCACGTATATGTAACTTCCCAGGCTGACACATGGCTCAGCTCCACGTTTGGTTGTGTAATTGGTTAAGCAGGTTCGATTAACTCATCAGCTTTAGGAGCCGATTCTCTGGTCTTGGGTTTGCGTGGTACCTGAATGGGGAAAATCTTCACTGCCACATAGTCACTAAGCAGCTGAGCCTTCCACACACAGCCAAAGCGCCCCCTAGCTTTGATTTCCAACAGCTGCAGTGGCTTCTGGACCAGGGTGGGAGACGGCGGCATGGGTCCAGGGTCCTGAAAGACAATAAATAAGGAAGTGTAAGTCATTGGGTTGGATGAACAGACCATCTGTAGGTTTAATAACTGCTGTAGACTTCATCACTATGGAGACCATCGTCACCCAGCTTGTTTCACAGTGACTCTCTAAATCACATGCTGGCTGTGCTGATTTCTGAATAACCTCTGCAGGGTTATTAAAGTGCCACCATTAACCACCATAAGGTCATTTCAATAAGATGTGTGTACAAAGGAGGGCCATTCAAAGTGGCCATTACAGAGGGACACCGTCCGGAAACAAGACCCTGGAATTAACCCATGACTCCTTAAATAAAACACCTTCTCTGTTACGTTGATTGCTGGTGCCACTGGTATATTGTGATTCTCACTTTAAAGTAGTTAAGGGTCGGTTCATGCTAGATTTTATATTCAATTTCATACACTTTCATTCATACACATGCAAACGAAGGAGAATGGGTACACAAGCACATGCAAAGATTTTTTTCGGAAGGCGGACCTTCATCAGAGCCGGAACTAATTGAGCCGTTTGTGCCAGGCTGGGGAGAAAGGTATTTTAATAATGTAAATTATGTGAAAAATAATGTGTTTTTCGAACCACCAAGCATGAGAGCATGTTCTAGTACACCCC